ACCACTCTCTGTTGAGCGATGTTGCCCAAAATAACTTCAGATATCTTTACCAATAGCGCTGTAATAAATTAAAAAGCATATTTTAGGTCTAATAAAAAGAATACAAAATAGTAAAATGTAATAAAGGAGCTAAGCTAAAATCGACATGAAATAAAAATCAACTTTTTTTATTTTCTTAATGCACAGCCATTCTTGTGTGATTTATCTGTCAATATTATAAAAAAAATAAACAAATAAAAATAAAAACTTTCACCAAATTCCTGGCTGTGCCTCTGCACCATATCTGTATCAACTTAAATTTTTGGTTGCCATTACAAAGCCCAACTATTTTTCAATCCCTCGCTCCAATCTCTTCTAGACCACTTTTCGCCGTCCAAAAATGACAGAAAACCAATGCCATACTACATTTCTTTTGCTCACAAATACATGGCATTCCAGAAGTGGGTTGGTAATGCTGTTTCATATTGACTTTAAGTTGCTAAGTCAGTTTGTGTTTCTCAGTCATTGATAAACACCTCAATGATTGAGCAAGAGTTGCAATGGTTAAAACCTGAGAACGTGAAAGTGCATCCTAAATTCAGTCTTACTGATGGTGTGGTGATATTCCTAAAGATATCCAAGATTTCTTCTTTGAAAAAAAAACCCCTCTTTTTCTTCTCTGAACATATGTAAATTATAAAGACCCAAAAGGTCATTTTTGTGTTGTCATTTGTTTATTTTAGAATTCTCATTTTCAACCAAAAAAAAAAAAGTCAATGCAATGCATGATCTTTTAGTGCTGACACATAATGTTTAGGATATAATACCAGATTTTAAACCACTTTGTAATGTGGACATCATAGGAACATAATGCAGGGCAAAAAAAAAAACGTATTTGATTCAAACAGTAGAAACATGGGCGCTGTTAACTTTAGACTGACCAGACTCTTATGAAAGACAGGAAGGTGATCGATCAAAGGCCCTTTGTAAGTGATATTTATACTCCGAATAACAGGATGTGGATGAGAGTGATTTTGCATATGTGAATTCGGCATGCTGCTCATTTCTTCTTCCTTCCTTCGAAATAGGCCCTCCCTTTTAAACCGCTTGTAACGTAGTTTGTAGATCGGGAAGAAGGAGGCGGGAACCGGCAAACATTAAAAGATTTTAATCAAATAAACAAACACAAAACGAAAGTAAAGCGGCAGCCCCTCGCGGACGACTGCCGCACACAAAACACAAAATAAACTCCAGGCCTGGTCCTCTCTCCCCCGACACTGTCGTCACTCCTCCCTTTTATCCTTCCGGAGCTCCTCCGTGAAACTCGAGACCGGTGAGTGGTGCAGGTGTTGCTCATTATCAATTACTCCTCCGGCCTCGCTCCGTTCCCACGGCTCTTGGCCCCGCCCCACTCGTCACACCGCTATATACTGTATAAGTGCAGTGCCCATCTCAACTTTGTTGTGCACTCTTTGTTTGATCGATAATGTCATCTCACTGCAGTGGTGAGAGAGGCACTGAGAGTGTCTAGCGTTTTCTAAAAATATCCCAGAAATAATACTGTAAAGCTGCTTCTGATGTATTATTACCTTACAACAGAACTTGAACTTTGTTGTGGGAGGCACAATCAATAACATCAGAATGCTGTACGTTTTGCATTGCATACTGTACATAAGAATTTTGTAGGTTGTACATCAGATTCTTGCTCTTTATGTGTCTTTATGCCTACATTATAAAATTTTTCTTTGGTAGTGAAAGTAGACTTTATGCTATACTTTGATGTGAATGTCACATATAGTATCTGACAGATTATCTGTGAAAGTTCTCTGCAATAACATATTTCATTGTTAATATTGCTAATCATTTACCCAGATGATAGACACAAGCCTTACATGAATATTATATGCTGTGTTTTTTATTGAATCCAGAACATAATGGGTATGTGTGGACACATCGTTTTGCTGAAACAGATTATACAGAAATGAGTTGTCATGCATTTAACTAAAGTATTACAATGCTTCAACCAAGCAGTACATTTTTGTAAATCTGGAAACATGTAAACAAGCATATCAGTGTTGTATTGTTTTGAATATTTGACCATATTCTGTGTTTCTTTTTCCAATCCCTGCTGGAGCACATGCTGTCTGGCTAACAGTGACCGCTTGCCTCGCAGCTGTTAACTCACATTCATGCTTTGACATGGTTGTCATACTTAAAGTTTGAAGGGACCAGGGAGAGTCGGCAGACTTCTGACTTCCACTGATATGTAGTGAAGTGTAGTGTTATTTTTTAAATTAAATTATTATCATTATTTTTTTAAACAGAACATAATGTTTTGACTACACAGCAAAGAGATACAGCTCAACACATTACATTTAACAAGATACATTTACCACGCACAAATACCCGATATTTTGCAATATGAATAGTACGTTTTCACATTTGGAACCTCCTTTTTATTCACAGTGACTTCAGATGAAATCATTACTCCTTTATTAATGTGAAATGCTTTTTAAATACTTTTTTTTAAGTAATAAAAAACTATAATAAAAAGACACTATGTATGTTTAAAATGTATTATATAGGTTATTTAAAGGGTTAGTTCACCCAAAAATGAAAATTAGGCTGTGTTTGACTCACCCCCGAGGCATCCTAGGTGTATATGACTTTCTTCTTTCAGACGAATCCAGTCGGAGTTATATTAAAAATTGTCTTTGATCTTTCAAGCTATTTAATGGCACTCAGCGGGTGTTGCAATGCATCAGTCCAAAAGAAGTTAAATAAAAAGCGCCCATCCATAAAAAAAGTGTCTGAAGAACATAACAATTCACCAAGATCAAAAATGAAGAAGGGAAACATACAAAACTATAAAATAGCTGTAGCTGGATAAACATAGAAAATGATGACCTACACTCTTAAAAAGAGTTATTATAACAGTTATTTACTGGCTTTGATGGTTCCATGAAGAACCTTTAACATCCACAGACCTTTCCAAATGCACTAAAGTTTCCACAAAAGTGGAAAAAATGTTCTTCAGATTATTAAAATATTCTTCACACTTATTTTAAGAACTGTTCACAGAAAACTTCTGTGGGGAACCAAAAATTGTTCTTCTATGCCACTGCATTGAAAACTCCCTTTTGAAAACTTTAGTTTAAGAGCAGTGTTGGGAAGTAGCCTGACTAATTACATGTAACTAAATTACGTCATTTAATTACAAAATAAATGTTATTGTAATCACATAGAGTTACTGAGAAAAACTGTGTAATTAAATTACAGTTACTTAGGAAAATGTTAATGATTACAAAGGGGTTTACATCTACAGATATGACTGATTTCATTCCCAAATTGCATTGACCGTTTAAAAATATGCGGATCATCAGATCGATGTTTCAGGAGTTTAGGACACAGAATATGACACATGCTTATTTGATAACTGTTTTATTTCCTATTTGGGTTTGTGTGAATGCTTTATTTTTTTAAGATTACCATTGTTTCCAAAGCATTGTTAGATGGCAGTGTTAAGGGGAACACATCAGAGTTTTTTTCACACCACCCACATACAGATTTAATTGATTTTTTTCATAAATTGCAGTGACTGCTCTAAAATATGAGACACCAGTGTTTCAGGAGTTTAGGACACATGCTTCTTCGATAACTGTTTATTTCCTATTTGGGTTTATGTACATGTATTATTTAATATTAACTGTTTTGGTAACACTTTATTTTAAGGTGTCCTTACACATGTTGCTTGTACTTACTATTATAATAACAATAAATTATGCAGAATTACATGCAAGTAACCCTAAGACAAACCCTAAACCTATAGTAAGTACATGTAGTTAATTAATCTTACTCAGTACTTAAATGCATAATTACACTGTAACAAGGACACCTAAAAATAAATTGTAACCACTGTTTGTTTTTCAAGGCATTGTTAGATGCCAGTGTTTCCTATGCAAATATATGATTTCAAAACAGTATCATAGCTACTAAACTATTTCTTGTTATGGTTTTAAATCTGTATTAAACCTCAAAGTAAGTCTGATTTTTGTTGAAAACATTAGAAATTTAGAAAAGTAATCAAAAAGTAATCAAATGTAAACAGTTACATTACTTTAATAAAGTACTTGAAAAAGTTACACTACTTATTACATTTTAGATAGGGTAATTTATAATCTGTAACCTGTTACATTTCTAAAGTAACCTTCCCAACACTGTTTAAGAGTATATAAAACAACTTGCCCTGTTTAGAATGTATTGTTTCAGGACACCAATATATTGAAGTTTTGCTGCAGAAATAATTTTTTTTTTCTTTTTTTTTTCATTAAAGGGCTATACATAGATTTTGCAGGCAACAGAGAATTTTAAATTGCTTCAGAATTTCTCCTTTTGTGTTTCATGGGAAAACTGTCTTCATATTTCTAATGAAATAGAGGTGACAAAATTAAATTTTCGGTATATGTGATCCTGGAGCACAAAAGCAGTCATCAGTAGCACGGGTATATTTGTAGCAATAGCCAACAATACATTGTATGGGTCAAAATGATCAGTTTTTCTTTTATGTCAAAAATCATTAGGATATTAAGTAAAGATCATGTTCCGTGAAGATTTTTTCTTTGTAAATTTCCTACCGTAAACATATCAGAACTTAATTTTTGATTAGTAATATGCATTTCTAAGGACTTCATTTGGACAACTGAAAAGGCCTTTTTCTCAGTATTTAGATTTTTTTGCACCCTCAGATTCCAGATTTTCAAATAGTTGTATCTCAGCCAAATATTGTCCAATCCTAACAAACCATACATCAATGGAAAGATTATTTATTCAGCTTTCAGATGATCAAATTGACCTTTATGACTGGTTTTGTGGTCCAGGGTCACATATAAGGTATTCAGCAGTTGAGAAAGTGAAAGAGCAGTAGCCTAAGTCATGTAGCTGGTGAGGACGCGGCGAGGGTGGTGGCGCTGTAACACCGCAGCAGCTCAGCGAAGCTCTGGCTTCTGTCCGTGGTTCTAGTCTGCGCGTGCCAGTGCATGGTGACGCCGTGGGTTTGTATGCTCTCTCTGCTCTCTCTCTGTCTGTCTCTGGAGGATTTCGCACCATTTCAAGCTTTGGATCAAACCGGGCGACACGCGACGGAATTACCGCCACAAGGGTGTGGTTCTATCCAAAATGACATCGCCGGATGTAAATAACAAGTGGAAGTAGGATCTCTGCCCATCCTTTAGAGATGTACACCGCGGTGAGTGTTGCCTTGTCCTCGCGGGGGAGCCACATGAGATTCATCCTGATGGGGTTTTGTTTTATTGTCGATCTTTGATCATTTGAGTCTTATTTGCAATGAGCAGATGTGTCTTTAATCTCGGTCTGTTGTGAACGCAGTGATGGTGCGATAACGGTGTCGCTTTCGCTCGCAGCGCTGTTTTTATTTGCGCTCCTGTGCTGAATACGCGATTTATTGCCTTTCTATTGTCTCTTCACACAGAGCTCCGGGTCTGGGAACGCGTCCCTGCGCTGTTCTATGTCTTCATCGGCAGATTTCTCCGATGATGAAGAGTACAGTGTGAAATCTGGGTCGGTGTCGCCGGCACCGGGGGACACGTTACCGTGGAATTTACCCAGACACGAGCGCTCGAAGCGGAAGATTCAGGGAGGATCCGTGCTGGATCCTGCCGAGAGAGCGGTGCTCAGAATCGCAGGTAAGAATCCAAAATATATCCCAGTCTCACTGCAGCCATACACGTCCATTCATTAGGCTCTTGCAGAGAAAATGATGAGGCCTGTCGTTTGCTATTTGATCAAGCAGCAGTCAGTGAACTGCACGTACAAATACAGAGTTGGATAAATAATAAGCGATGAAGAATTCACGTTGTTTGGGTTTTAAGAAAGTATTTTAAAAAGGCATTGGAACTTGAGTTGTCTAATGGGTGGTCCTGATCATGTGCTTTAAATGTCTTGCACCGGAAACACCTGCTCCTTACATCTGCCTAAAATCTGCAGGTCATCATCATAAGAAGAATAATGAGCGTTAAGTTGCCTCTGATGCACTGTGAAACTGCTGTGAAATGGTAGCTGGAAGTCAGAGTTGTTTTTAAAAGCTCAAGGCTGAAAGATGAATCAGCAGTCTGTAATGTGCATGTTTTCCTGCTCTGGAATGAGAGGCTTCTGTAGCATTATGACCTATTCAACATGAGAACCAGATGGCAGTATCACATGCCATAATAATATGACAATTTATTTGTTTTTATTCTATCTATCTATCTATCTATCTATCTATCTCCTAATAGCCTATATACACAGACTCAGAAGAAAAAGGTACAAACGCTGTGACTGGGGTGGTATCATTTCAAAAGGTACACTTTTGTACCATATTCACCTCTAAAAATGCATACTAGTATCTTATAGGTAAAAATTTACGGTAAAAAACCGGCAGCTGCGGTTGCCAGAATTTTACTGTAAAAAATACGGTAGCAACATTTTAGGTTTTAACTTAAATTTACAGTTAAATACCGTAATTTTATTAACTGATATAATGTTAATATACCAACCTATTGAAGTAGTGAAATCTGTTTTGTAGCTTTGTAATACACTGATAACCACCAAATGCAGGCGGTGATGAGAAAGTCACATGATGAACCAAAGCCCATCACAAGCAGCTTTTGAATAATAACATGTGTAGAAGGTGCACGGTGTCATTCACACAAACACTAAACACCATCATGGTAACACACATGAAACTGAAATAATGCAATAAACATTCATTTAACAACATTAGATTAGCATTTTTACAGTCATTTACCGTTAAATTCACGGTCATTTTTTACAGTGTAGCATACAAATTAGTACCTAAATTGTATGTTAGTGACAGATTTTGTACCTTTTTTTCCCCTAGAGAGTGCACAAACAGCCTGCAGTTCATCATTTGGCAGTTGCATGATATTTATTTCTATTATAAATAATTTTTCTTTTAATGGTTTTATAGAACAATAATAACACATTAGGCTTTACCCTACAAATAAGCTAACTTGTAAAGCATTGTAAAAAAAAAAAAGAAACATCAATATAAGGCAGAGCTGCATGGTGTTTAGTATTATAAAAGTTGAGATTGGTCGGCATCTGCTTGGGAAGATGTTGTTTGTCCTGTAACAGAGAGTTAGCAGCGCAATCATGTTCCCGTTGCAAACGCGAGGACGGGAATGCTCCGGTTTTAGGACCTTGGAGAGCACGCTTGCAGACACATGGCAGCGGTGACCACCAGCGTGTGCCTCTAAAATAGAGGATGACTGTGCATGACACATTATCCCCTTCATGTAGTCTGACATGTGATATATATATATAGCCTATATATAGCATTCCAGATGAATGCTGACCACACATGAACAGTGTCAGGAAGAGTAGCAGCGTTAAATAAAGCACGCAAAACGGCATATCGTGAAAACTGGTATTATTTTAAAGAACCTATTGGCGTTTGCTGGGATGCAGTGAAGGACAGTCGCGGATCCCCTCTCACCGGCGCACGGCTGAAGCGGCAGAGGAAGTCGCGCTCATTGGCCGGTTGGCGGATCTGGGAGGGGACGCAGGGCGTCGCCGGTAACGGAGCAGAGGCGCTGATCGGTCAGGCTTCACTTCGCCAGTGCGGCCGGTAAATGACCAGCCTCGACCGCTCCGCCAATGGCCCGCTACGGACCGGCTCCGTATATGCTCGCCGACGAATTGGAGTATCTCCAGGCGTACGAGGACGTGCTTGAGAAATATAAAGGTAAAGAATGAATCCGGTTTGACCGCTTGTTGAATTACATTTTTGCTTCGGCAGCGAGACGGTTAACGGTATCAGAGCATCAGCGTGATTCATGCTTACATTAATACATACATTGTTTCATTGTTTACTGAACGGAAACCGTTTACTTGGTGGCAGATTTGCTGACCTGATGTGACACATTTAATAAGCTTGTCACAGTAAGACAAAACCCCTTTATTTTCGTCTATCTGACAGATCGTGTAGAAATATTGTTCTGTTTGTGTGTTCAGATGATTGCATTAGATGTTTGTTATATAAGCCCATTGTGAAATTCTGATTTGATTGGTCGTCTACATCTGTCTGTGGTGTTGTCCCATCCATCGTGTCTGCTCTAAATGCATCTCCCCTCATGCACTTACAGTGGCTTCCAGCCATTTGGATCACTAGTCCTGGCTTAGGGATGTTATTTTCTTCTCAGCATCATCCTGCCAGTCAGCCTCTGTTTCTGCAACATGCATGTCTAGGGAAATATATAAATGCACGGAAATACATTTTCCCCATTGAATGAGTGTTGAGTATTCAGGTGAAGCTGATGTGTTGTTTTTGGTGATTTGTAGCTCAAGCAGAGCAGCAGATCGTCTATCAGCTGTTGGGTATCATAAGCTAACAGTCAGCTGTGGAAAAGCTCAACAGTGTGTGTGTGTGCGTGTGAGTGTGTGTGTGTGTGTGTGTGTGTGAAGCTGCTGCAGTCATGATGAAGGGTCACTCTGATTCTGTGATTTTTGCTTTCTCAAGGCAATATGCTTGATAAATAAGTTCTTATTATCATAGATTTGTTTATTTTCTACAGAGCGTACTACAGTTTTGTTAACATTTAAGTGCATAAAACCATGGTGGCAAAACAGTTGTTATTAATCAGAATGCATGATTGTTTTGAAAAATGAAGTTTAAATTGCATTAGTGGGTTGATGCACACAGTTGAAAACACCCAAACATTCCTGATTTTCTGGAATCAGTCTAGGTGTAGGCCACGTCTCGTTAAAAACCGCTTTTGTTCTGGCTGTCAGGAGTGTTTGACTTGAGGCCAGAGGTTATCAGAGCTAGTTTATTGGTCACTATAAACATGTCTGGGTGCCAACAAGCACAGTTAGAAAATAATCAAGGTGTAAAGAATATACCTCAGTGTTTTTCACTCTTTTGGCACTAATTGAGTATGTAATTACAAATTACTTTAAAAGAATGATTTTATTAATGATTCCACAGTCAGTTGCACAAAACAAAAACCCAAGAATGACATTTAATCGTTTCATTTATATGCAGCATTTTAACAATGCTAAGTTATGAACAATATTGACATATAGTTTTAATAAGACATTGTAATGCATGAAAAATGCTCCGTGGGAATGTTTTTTGAGTTATGATGGGAATAAATCGCTTTTTGAATTCTAACTGATCGAACTGATACACAGAAATGAATCATTTTCTGCTGAAACCTTATATTTCTCTCATTGTGAGTCACAGCACAAGTCATCACATCAAAACCAGTGTGATATTCTCAATGTATTGTGTATATAATCAATATATAGCATTGCACCTGTGTGTCATGTGCTTTAATTTATGTTACATCTACAATGAGGTTGTCATTGAAGTATGCATTTTCAACACTGTCTGAAAGGAATCTTTCATAAGCAGTCTTTTTGCTTTAAGGGAGATTAGCAAGGCATCTACATGATGTCTTGAGTTTAGAGAACAGTTTAGTCAAGAAAATGATAAACTTCAGATATATATTAAAGATAAGCATTTCCTTTGAATTAAACATGATATTCTCTGTTGAATAAGTTCATGATGCATACGGCCTCATATTGAGTCCGGTTTTAGTTCTTCCTGTAAGAATGACTTTTAACCGTGTGACAATGCCTTCAAAGACACTGGAAACTGTGATGCTCTGAATGTCCTTCCTCTAGAATCATCACCAGAATATTCCATGCTTAAACATATGATGCCAGCTGCACTTTTTTATAAAGTACAGATCCATAAAATTCAAAACGATATTAAAAGCCACCATGTCTATTGTGCTCTTTACTCCGCTTGTCTGGAGTTCTCCAGAGAGTGGGAACTATGGACAATGATAAAATTGATGTTTGGTGGAAACATTCCTGGAAGCGACGTCCAGCTCTGTAGAGTTATACAGTAACACTGCTGGAGCTGTTCTCAGAACAAAAGCTCTTCACATAGACGGTCTGCCTCTTTTTTCTCTTATGCTAAATGTCTCTCTTTAGCCCTATAGTGAACGCTCATGCTCAATGTATGTTATGCAGGACTGAGTGGGTAGGAAGGGCTCAGTGCTGGGGAAGATACATTGAAACTGTTGAGTTACTCATCATTTAAAGCACTCAATGTACCTTTATGTAAGAGGGGGAGGGGAACAATACATTTTAAATATATCAAAATGATTTTTAAAAATGTAAATCTGTAGCAGGAATAAAACAATCATTAAAAATCACTTAATGTGTTAGGTATCAGACAAATTTTTTTATTAATATGGGGCAATTAAAAAAAATATTGGATAATAATAATACAAAATAATAATAATAATGAATTATTTGTAAAAAAAAATTCCATAAAGCATGTTATGTTTTCATTGTTGCAGTAATGATTAATTTACTGTAAACATTTGTCATCAAAAATATAGAAATGACTTGGCAGGTGCTTAAACATACAGGTAATGGTTGACGTCTAGGTTAGTGTCCAGTTACTTTGTGGAATTTAGTTTGTTTTGGGTTTCGAGGTAAGAAGCACTGAGGACGTGTGGTACAATACCCGGCTAATTGGGTATTAAAGGTAATAACACACAAGCAGAGGGTTTTTTTTGTAGTGGTGTTCTTGTAAACCAGAGCGTTTCATCTTAGGTCAGATTCAATCGCTTCCTTTCAAAATGTCTTAATCTTGTACTTTTGAACG